TGCTTGGGGGAGCCAGTAGTGACTTGGTGGTGGCCTGGGACTGGGGGTAACACTGTCCATGGAGGAGAGTCCCAGTGCACAGCGGTGAAAGTTAGCTTTTGTTTTGAGATCTGGGGTTGCTTGTCACCACAGCAAACCCTGATGCATGGCCTTCGAGTCTGCCCCTCCTTTGGTTAGTGTTTGGATCACACCATATTTTCAGCTCCTAAACATGTCACCATCTGTTGCCCTTATGCCCACTGGGACCTTACTGCTGCCCCGGCAGGGGACACATAAGAAAGAGTAGACAGTCAAAGTCTGGAAGAGTCTTTGAATTTGTGGGGGGGGGGGTTGGCTAAGTGGGAGGGATTAAGGGAGTGTGGCACACATTTTCTCACTCATTCAGCAGGCCCACAGGTACTGGGCACACAAGATCTTTATTGAGTACTCTCTCCATGTATTGTGTGGGCTTGGAGAGTAGGATGATTCAGATATGAAGGAGCTCTTAGACTGTGGGGAGACCCCCAAACTGCAGGAGGAGGAGGAGGAAAGAAGCATAAGAGGTCAAGGGCATCACCATGAATGCTGCAGGGGAAAAGAACAGCAACATTTAGAAGAACAGATTGAATTTGGTTAGGGGGTGTGGCTAGAGACCGTCAATCCTCAGAGCAGAGGCAAGCTTATTGGAGGAGGATGCTGAGAGGGGGATACAGGGGAGAGATGTAAGGGGCTGTAAAACATAGAAACCATCCCTCTTAGTGAGAATGTTAGGAACGCTATACACTATTCCCAGTCCTTCCGAAGGCAGGACTGTCTCCCTCGCTTCACAGATGATGCAAGCCAAACAGAAGGATGGAGTGACTTGTCCCAAACCTTACTTCATCAAGAACAGCTGGATTAAAACCCAGACTGCCAACTCTACCTACTGCATGTTCTTCGTTGTCTCATAAGCAGGACCCTGGTTGCTGGATGTGCTTTGGAACATGAGGGAGATTTAAAAGCTATACAAAGGGTAGTTACTTATTTAAAACAAAAGCAGAATGGCTGAGGAGACAGCTCAGTCGGCAAAATTCTCACTGTGCTGACCTGGACCCATGGGGATAAGGGTCTAGATGGGGAGGCGTAGAGTGGGAGGACCAGGGATGAGAAGAAAGAAAGCAGTAACTGGGACTGGGAGGTCTTGCACAAGCTGATGGTTGATGCCAAGCAAGTTTATTAAGAAGTCCGCCTTTAACCCAAGCACTCAGGAGGCAGAGACAGGTGGATCTCCGTGTTTCAGGCCAGTGTGGTCTACTGAGTGAGTTCCAGAACAGCCAGGGTGTGGTGGTATTGTGTTCCCCAAAATATTGAGCACCCTAATAAACTTATCTGGGGTCAGAGACAGAACAGCCACTAGATACAAAGGCTAGAAAATGGTGGCACTCACACCTTTAATCCTAGCATTCTGGAGATAGAAATCCCTCTGGATCTCTGTGAGTTCAAGGCCACATTGGGAATGGCCAGGCATGGTGACACACGCCTTTAGTCCCAGAAAGCAAGCCTTTAATCCCAGGGAGTGGTGGTAGAAAGCAGAAAGGTATATAAGGCGTGAGGACCAGAAACTAGAAGCATTTGGCTGGTTAAGCTTTTAGGTTTTGAGCAGCACAGTTCAGCTGAGAGCCATTCGGATATGAGGACACAGAGGCTTCCAGTCTGAGGAAACAAGATCAGCTGAGAAGTTGGCCAGGTGAGGTTAGCTGTGGCTTGTTCTGGTTCTCTGACCATCCAGCATTTCACCCCAATAACTGGCCCCGGGTTTGATTTTATTAATAAGACTCTCTAAGATTCCTGCTACACCAGGGCTGTGCAGAGAAACCTTGTCTTGAAACACACACACACACACACACACACACACACACACACACACACACACAGAGAGAGAGAGAGAGAGAGAGAGAGAGAGAGAGAGAGAGAGAGAGAGAGAGAGAGAGAGAGAGAGAAAGTACAGAATCTTATACACGGTTTGTAAGGGGAGAATGGGCCAACATCAACAGAGACAGTGTAGCAAAGAGAACACAGGACCCTTAGACACAGCTGCCTTGGGACTGATAACCACAGCCCTTCAGAGGAGAAAGCAAGCTTCCCCAGAAACAGAAACCTTAACTCCTTCAAGGCCCAGGCCCCAGTCCCAGCCCCAGACCAGACCTTGCCAAGACAGTCTCTGGGCAAGGACACAGGACTAGCATTCCCTTTGTCCTTTCCATCTGGGCCTCTGAGAAAGCCTCGGAGTAGCCTGGCTCCCACCACTGTGCAAGCACGAGGACCATAGTTCGGATCCCTAGTACTCACACAAGAAGCTGAGCAGTGTAGCACTTGCTTATAATCCCAGTGATGGGGAGGCCGGGACAGGGGGATCTCTGGGATTTCAGTCAATCTAACCAAACTGGCCCCAGGGAGAGACCTTGTCTCAAAAAACAAGGTAGGGGCTAGGGGTATGGCTCAGTGGTTAAGAGAGCTTGCTGTATAAACACGAGGACCTAAGTTTGAATCCTCGGCACCCACGTCAAAAGCTGGTCATGCATGGTCATTCACACCTGTAACCCCAGAACTGTGGGAGATGGAGACAAAGATTACTGGTGCTTGCTGGTGCCAGCCTCGCTCCAGGTTCAGGAAGAGACACTGTCTCATGGGAGTAAGGCAGAGTGCTAGAGAAGGACACCTGGCACCCTCCTCAGCGGGTGCCTCACACACGTGAGGGTGCCTGGCACCCCCTCTCGTCTCAGTGCACGTGCACAGGTGCACACCTGCCATGCTGACACCAACACACACTTAAGTACACACAAAACAACAACAAAAGCTACCAAAACCCCAAAGGGAACCACTCCCGACAAATAATATCTGAAGTTGACCTCTGGTTTCCACACACATGTGCACACACTTGTACATGAACACACACAATATCAGCATCAGAGAACAATTACATGTGAATTGAGAAGAAAAAAAAAAAAGAATGTTGTTGTTGTTGTTTCCAGAAAATGTCCTTGATTTTTATTAGAGTATTAAAAACACAACCATATCTTACTTATTGTTCACCAAAGGAAGAACAGTGACTCCCTAAAAATGCAGTGGATTTCAGGGGGCCTGGGAGCATGTGGATGGAGAGAGAATCTGGTATGGGAGGAGTTGCTGTTGGTGCCAACCCTAAACATGGACCAGGAAAGAGGGATCCCACCCTCACACACACTCCAGGACGCAGGCTTCGCTTTGTTTAAAAACGCATATTGGATACTGGGGAGCAGGACTCTGGGTTGGGGCTAATCAGGCCACACCTGCTCACAGCAGCCTCTCATTTCTCTAGTCTCACAGCCACTGACAAGCCGCTTTCAAGCTGAGCTGGGTCGTGAATCTGTGTGAGACTCCAGGAAAGAAACACAAATTCTCAGACCAAACACTGCCCAGGGTATGCTCATCTACAGCCGCCTTTGTCTCCACAGTTGATTCTGGGATTCCTGTTGCTACAGAGAGACCGACGCCCCTCCCAGAGCCCATGAGTCTATAGACAAACTCCCCAGATGCCCAAATTTCAGGAGAATGACAGGTGCCATTCTCACTTCAACAACTAACTAGGTTGTCAGTTTCTGGGGCACCAGAGGACTACCTGTGGTGGCACATCCTCCCATCCGACTGGAATACCAGACGGCTGCCCATGGTGACACATCCCACATCTGTATAACGGGTAACGGGTACATCTCAACCAGATGTGTCCTTCCCTCCCAACCCCCCAAAGCCTCAGAGTCCCACATTCCTACTCCAGAATATCCGCCCCCACCCCTGCAACCCACAAATCTCAGAGAAAGACTGACCACGTAAAACCTGCCCCTTCCTCTGAGATCTGCAAGATATCAGCCCTAGCTTGTGAGCCTGCACTCCCTTCAGAGCCCTGTTATTGCCTGTCTGTCTGTCTGTGCATGGTGTTCATGCTAATAGCTCTTCTAATAGATGTCTTACTCCAAAGCATGCTAGGCCTTTCAGGAGGGACCTGAGTGATCAGGAGGCTGCAAAGGAGGTAGTTTGTGGAGACACCTGTTTTCCAAGCAGGAAGGGCCCCTTCCCCCCTCCCTTCAGCTCTGATGACTGGGTTTTCAACAATGGCAGCTATTTTGTGTGTTTGTTGTTTGGTTGGGGGATCTCAGATAACACAGACATGAACTCTTGACGGTCTTGCCTCCTCCTCCCGATTGCTGGGATTACACGCATTTGCCACCACACCTGGCTAGTGGTTGGTGGATTTTAGTATGAAGTCAATTGACAGAAGAGAACACAAGGGTAGGAAGAATGGAAAAAAAAGATAGAAGGGAAGGCTGACAGGAAACAGATTTGTAGTGAAGCAGGTATGTACCATCTCTGTGACAGCTGAGAAAAAGCATTCTTTCCCAAGGACTCCTTGAGCACACAAGATGGTAGGTGGAACGGATCTGATCCTCTTCACCAGGGACGACCACAGTCTTGGAGGCTTAAGATGAAATAATGTGATCACTACTAATAACTGAATCGTCTAAATCCCCAGACAGAGCTACTAGAAAAAATGTTCTAAATTCTCAGAGACCTTCCCAGAATATACAAAGAATCAGAAAATGTTGGGAAAAAAAAGAGTTCCTATAACCACAATATTCCAGACATTGTGAAAATATCCCTCTGGCTAAGGTTCCTGTTTTACTTCTGGGACCAACAAATGTTCTACTGGTCCCAGCCATGGAAAAGCATCTAGGACTGTTGGTAATGTCCCCCTAGACGACTAAAACTGGGCTGCGTGGAAAAGAGAGCACGTTCATCTTAACGGTCAGCAGTCTGATGGGTATTCTCCTGGATTTGAAGGAAAGGACCATTTCCCATTAAGAAGTTCATTTCCCATGATTCCTACAATCGGGGCAGTCCAACTGTTGCTCATTGTTCAAGGCTCTGTCTGGTTGCGGCTCTGTGTCCTTCCCTGATTGAGTTGATGGATGGTCACAAGGATGAGACATCTGGCTGAGCGGAAAGCTTCAGGGTGGGCCATATAAGCCCAGGTTCCGGGCAGCTTGGGAGATCCTGGGATGTTTCTTCTGGGGAAATGGATAGTGAGCTGGTTTTCCAGACCTGTGTCGGTTCTTTGTGGAAGGAAGATGCTGGATGCTGGCTTGTAAACTGGAGCCCGCTGCCTGTAATGGGATACTATCCTCCTGACCTTGACCCTGGGCCACCTCTGGGATTTTGGCTTCTTGATGAGTCTTGTGATTGTTTTCCAACATGTTAGGGTCTCCTTCTGGAGAGAGCCTGGGTTCTGACTCTACAAGGGAGCCCTTGCGGTTCCCTTGGTGGCTGGCTTCCAGATGGAGGGTTTGAACCAAGCGGTGCATCTCTAGGTATGTGTGCCATGGAGTCTCAGGAGCCTGATGGCAGCTTCTGTCCACTTCCTCCAATGTCCCCTCAACCTCAGAGTCAGTCTCATCCGGGGACAGTGAGCTCTTTCTCCCCTTGTTAATCCAAACAGCACTGGTCATCGATTCAGCTGGAGTAAGCATGGCCCCTTCTGAGAAGAGAAGGCACAGCAGTGTCATCATTGGGAGGTCTCTGGGTAGCTCCCTTTGAGAGAAACCCATAGGTTTCAGATTAAAGGAAGGGGGATCCTGAATGCCAAGGGGGCCAGATACCAGAACATTGCACATGTGTACTCACACATGCAAACGCACATGACCTGGCATGTGTGTACTCTTTTTCACACACATGTACTCTTCCCCAACATATAATTACAATTACTCATAATTCAACAAATATTTATCAAGCACTTGCTATAGCCAAGGCCTTTTTTATTTGAGGTTCCACAAATATAGCAGTGAGAATACTCACAACCTTATAGATGGGTCCTAATATCGAGGAAAGGCAACAAGCAAAGACGCGTGTTAAAAGTCCAGGTGCTCCCTGGAAAATGTGCAGAGTGACAGATGCTGGCACCTGTTCTTAAATGGGATGTCTTCATCAGGGCCCTTTCAAGGCCCAGGGAGTTGTAAGAGCCAGAGGAGATGGATAACTCCAAGGACACAGCATCCTCCAGAGACAACAGGACTGATGCACATAAGCACTCACAGAGACTGTGGCAGCATGCACAGGCCTGCACAGGTTCAAGCCACACAGGGTCCCAGCACTGAGGGAGGAAAGTGGATACAGGCTCCCACTCCCAACCAAGAAGCTCTCTACAATTGGTACCCACCTACATAGGACAGTTAGTCTTCTCCAATGGAGTCTCACTGGGTATATTAACCACACTTCAGGGCAGGCCCCATGCCCAGGAGTAAACAAACTCCATGGTAATCACGTAGACTTTTTGTCTCATATTACTTTGTTTGGGCATTGTTTTTTGTCTTACTGGTCTTTTGTTTATGTATTTTGGTTTCCAGTTTTGTGTTTTTATAAATTTATTTTTTGTATGTGTGTTTTCTTGTTTGTTGAGAGAGAGAGAGAGAGAGAGAGAGAGAGAGAGAGAAAGGACTTGAAGTTAGGTGGGGAGAGAGGTGGGGAGCACCTGGGAGGAACTGAGGGAGAGGAAAAGCATGATCAGAACATACAGTATGAAAATATTTTTTTTCAATGAAAATATTTCATTTGCTAATCAAATTTATGGAAAAACTCAAGCATAAATGAAGTAAAAATTTCAATGCGAGTGTGTGAGCTCCAGGAAGAAGTGAGAATTAGTATTTAAAAATGACAAAGATAAAGGGTATATACACACACCAAAACACCACATATACACATACCACACACACTCACACACAAATACACACAACACACACACACACACACACACACACACACACACACACACACACACACATTGCTGTGATTTAGATCTTAAGCATCCCAAAAGCCCACTTTACAGGCTTGGTCCCCGGCTTCGATGTCATCAGAAGATTGTGGAAACTTTGCCAGGTGCCTGCTCAGTGGAGGTTGGCTCACAGGGACATGCCCTCCAGGGGTACCAGACATGAGTATCTTCCCTCCATTTTGCTTCCTGGCTACCATGAGTAGAGCACCACCACCACATGCTTCTACTATGATGTACTGTGGTGACAAAGATCTAAAACAACACGACCAAGTGGCCCTGGGATGGAACCTCTGGAACCACGAGCCAAAACAGACCTGCTAGTTTATTCTGTCTGATGTTCTGTTACATGACGGACAACTGATTAACATACTCCCATTGAAATTCATACACACACCTCACAGGAGAATATTTTTCTTAGCTTATGGGGTCTGTGTCCTACACTTCTAGTAATGGTTTTGTCACCCAAAGCAGGAGAGAGTCCATGGACACTTTTGAGAAGCGCCTGTTCCTTCTCTGAACAGGCTTCAGCCCCATTGCTAACAATGCACAATGGAGAGAAGGTACTGCAGGAATGATGTCATTGGGAAGCCCCTCTGAGCCCCAGTTTGATAAATCCAAAAATACCAGAAGAACTAGAAGAGCAGATGCAGCCATTCCGCACACGTGACCCCAGAGAGGAGGGTGACCTGCTCACACTTAGAACTGCACTAGCTTTCAGCATGGCAGGCACACCCACCGGCCTTCATGGTACTCAGATGCTCTGCAGGAACTAGAGGATGAGGAAAGATGGGGAGGGGCTGGGAAACATAGGAAACCAGAATCCTCTCTCATCTACCAAGAGGGGGTCCTGGAGGTGGGGGGTGGCCGCAGAGACAGACAGGCAGGTCTTCATAGTAGGACCTCTTAACTTTCAGTTCCAGGGTGTGGTCCACACAGGACAAAGAGAAAGAGACACACCACACCACACATACCACACGCACAGACACACCACATCACACACACACACACACACACACACACACACACCACACATACCACACGCACAGACACACCACACCACACATACCACACGCACAGACACACCACACCACACCACACACACACACACACACACACACACACACACACACACACACCACACCACACATACCACACGCACAGACACACCACACCACACCACACCACACACACACACACACACACACACACACACACACACACACACAAAGGAAGAGAAGAAAGGAGGGTCCAGAGGGAGGGAGAGGGCAGATGCCCGTGGCCCCAAACCATATAATGGAATCTTCTGCTGCAGCCCCTGCCCACAAATACTTTAGAATAGGGTCTGTCTTCCATCTTCAAGCAAAAGAGAATATTCAAGAACACAGAAGTTTTATACTATGTTTTTCCTTTCTTTTTAAAAAGCTTTTAAAGATGAATTTTATTTTATGTGTGTAAGTGTTTTGCCTGCATGTACCTATGTTGAACGACATGCACGCCCGGCGCCTGTGGAGATCAGAAAAGGAGGTTACATCCCCTGCAACTGGAGGGACAGATGGTCGTGAGCCACCGTGTAGGTGCTGTAATGGATCCCAGGTCCTCTGAAAGAGCAACAAGTGCTCTTAACCACTGAGCCATCTCTCCTTCCTCCTTCCCCGTGTTTCAGCTTTACATCTGTTTTGATTTGATTGGGTCTGTAGGGGGATGGGGACTGTAAACTCAGGCTTTGTTCCAAGGCTATGTATGTAATCACTCCATTCTATGATGTGATACCTATCACTGTAGAACATAGAACTCTGTCTCCCTGAGCCCCGAGTTCAGGCCCCGTCAGTTTCCAGACAATGAAAGTAGCATCTTCTCCAAAGCCATTCTCTCAGTTTTGCATGTGGATCCAGTCAAGAGGCTGAGCCTCCATCACCTGCCCCCCCACACACACACACACTTAGCCTAGCAGGGGGCCAAGCCCACTCACCTAACCGGTCTGGCCAGATCAGACCAAGGAGAAATAGGCACACAGACCAGGAACAGTGGCCACTGGCCAAATACCTGGCAGAGGCCTCTATTTCTTGGCCAAGGGACAGACTGGGCAGATCCACCCTGATCTAGCCTCCATGGCTCAGTTCTGACTGGGTCAACAGCAGCTCTTCTCTTCCTCTTCAGGAGACTGGCCCAGCCATGGCCCTGCTCTCCTTGGACTTTGGGTCATCTGTTCCACCCACAGAAGGGCCCTTCTCTCCGGAACTTGCCCAGCCCTACCTTTAGGAAACACCATCAGGTGGGCCTGGGTCCTCTGCTGTCTCCTCAGACCTTCATACTGGGCGCGAAGGAACTGGATGTTGATAGGAGGCCCTTGACCTGACGCCTGAGTCCGGGAAGCCTCAGCCATTAAGCAGGCCCCCAGCTCCAAGAAGTTGGGTAGGGCAGGGCACGGGCAGGCCAACCCTTTCATCCGCATCCGGGAGAAAAGCAAACACTGAGGGCTGAGGCAGAGGGAGGGGAGGGGGAAAGAAGAGGAGAGGGTGGGGGGGAGGCAGGGGGAAGAAGAGAAGCTGGAAAGATGAGGGGAGCGGGAGGGAGAAATTGAAGGGACTGGAACGGGGAGGTGGGAATAGGAGGAATGAGAAGCAGCAAAGGTTAGTTCTTAAGGAAAGAGGGAGATTTGGGGAGGGGTCAAGAAAGGGGGAGCAGAGGGAGAAGGAAGAGAGTGAAGTAACAGGAGTTAAGAGGAGAGAGGTGAGAGCAGGGAGTGAGGAAGTGGGGTGGGTAGGAGGAGGAGAGGAAGGAGTAGAGGGTAGGAGGAGGTGAGGATGGAGTAGAGGGTAGGAGCGGGTGCTGAAGGGAAAGGCTAGTAGAGCCCCTGGGATCTTTCCGGCAGCCCAAGAAGCTTTTATTCCGGCTGCTTTACCTGGTGATGGTCAAGTTTAGAATGCAGTTCCAAGAGCTACAGCAAGATTCCAGTTTCCTGGCAGAGCCGAGCTGGGCTGAGGAGTGCCAGGCGCCTGCTCAGCACACATGTTTTGAACTTGACTTAGCAGGTCATCAGAACCCCGCTGGTTTAATGAGCAACCTTCACAAAGAGAAACACCTTCAGCAGCCTTAAAAGCTGGGACTCCCGGTGTGTCCAGGATCACCCCAGGGTCTCCATGCAGCGCCCCCTCCCCACCCCCGACACACCTCCCGGGTAAAAACTCAGCCACCAAGTCTGCCATGGGGACAGAGTCCAGGGGATCGCTGGCTTCCCGCCAGCCCCACCTCTTTGACATTTGAGCGGCCTCTGTGGTCTCGGCCTTTTCCAACTAAACAATAAGTGGGTGTTTATCTTGCCCCCAGCTATGGGTACCCTCACCCTCTGTTGGCCAGCCCTGCCATTTCTTTGGATGGCAGACACTGCCTCTTCTAAGGCTAGCCTTGACCTGCCCTGGCTCTGCTTGCTCAAGTAAGTCCTTTTCTTTCTTCTAACACAACACTTACTACTGGCCACCTGCCCAGCACTCTTGTAGAGCAATGGGTGAGGAGACAGGGGAGGGTAAACCTTCCTTCACTGGGTAGTGTAATTAGTTCACTGGGGCTGCTCTTACAAAAGCCCACAAACTGGCTGGCTTACACAACAGACATTGTTCTGGTTGTTTCACAGCGACTAGGAGTCCAAGATCAAGTGTGAGCTGAGACGGTACTTTCTGGGGACTGTGTCGGACAGTCTGCTCTACACACCTTGCCTAGCATCTGTGGCTTGCTCTCGCTACTCGGTGATCTATATTTTATGAAGGAATCGCTTCACCTTTGTTTCCTTGTGATGTTCTTATGTATGTCTCTGTTGACATTTCCCACTTCTAAGGACATCAGCCATTGGAGTAGTGCTTAACCTAATCTCATCTTAAGTCAACTAATTAAATTGGCAATAAACGTACTTCCAAGTAGGGCACATTGTAGGCTCCCGATTTAGGATTTCAGCAAGTGAACTGGGGTTGAGGGGATACGATTTAGCACATGTCAGGTAGACTGTGACAGTTCCATTCAGAGAGACAAGAAGGAGAGAGGTGACAGTGGGGGGTGGGGGCCGGGGGATTTGTATTAGGTGTTATAGTTGGGGTGTCTCTGACCCTTTCTGGCAGCAGGAGGGAGTCAGATACTTGATGGGGAAATCTCACCTGAAAATGCCATTGTTTGTGAAAACGATAGTTTATTCCTGGAAAAGCTCCATTGTTAGGCATATACAGAATCAAGAACTGACCCTGAATTGACCTCTCCCTCCCTCCCTTTCTTCCGTTCATGAGTTATATGTGCACATGTGTATGGATGCACATGTGTGTGCATGTGTGCATGGGAGTCCGAGGTTGATGGCAGCTGCCCTCCATCACTCTGCACATTGTTTTTGAGACAGAGACTCCTGATGACCTCGGAGTGCATCAATTTGTCTAGGTCAGCTGGCCACTGAGCTCCCAGGATCTGCAGATTTCTATGCTCACAGCGTTGAGCTCACAGACTCATGTCTCCCAGCCTTCCCTTTATGTGAGGCTGGGAATCTGTGTTCAAGTCCTCATGCTTGAATAAGCAAGCACTTAACTGCCTGAGCCATCTCCTCAACTTGCCTCTTCCCCTGTCTTTCCTCCCTCCCTCCCTCCCTCCCTCCCTCCCTCCCTCCCTCCCTCCCTTCCTCCCTCCCTCTCCCTTCTTCCTTTCCTCCCTTCCTCTTTCCCTTCATCTCTTCCTTTCCTTCCTTTTTTATCTTGTTTTTCAATTTTTGAGACAGTTTCACTTTGTAGCCCAGATTGGCCCTGAATTCATGGCCATCCCCCTGCTTCAGACCCCCATCTTCACCCTGAGTGCTAGGATTATAGGCACACGGCCATGCTTGACTCGCTTTCTTGTTGGTTTCCCATTAGCATGTCCATGTTCGGATTTGGCACATGGAGAAGTCCTATTTTCTTCTTCCTCCTTCTCTCCTACTCTGGGTCTTCTTTCTCTTCTGTGGTGGGGAAGCTCGTGGTAAACATTGTTCATATTAAGGCCCATCAGGAAGCAGAGAGTGATGGGAACCAAAGATGGGTGAAAGAAAATGCCCCCCAAAGGGAGTGGCACTATTAAGAGGTGTGGCCTTGTTGGAGTAGGTGTGGTCTTGTTGGAGGAAGTATTTCACTGTGGAGGCGGGCTTTGCAGTCTCATATAGGCTCAAGCCATGCCCAACGTCTCAGACTACTTCCTGTTGTCTGTGCAAGATGGAGAACTCTCAGCTCCCTCTCCAGCACCATGCCTGCCATGTGTCCCACCATGATAATAATGGATTGAACCTCTGAAAATGTAAGCCACCCCATTAAATTTTTTTCCTTATAAAGTCTTGGTGTCTCTTCACGGCAATAGAAACCCTAACTAAGACAGTAGGTATAGTCTCCAATAACCATCTCCAACCCTACTAATGGCCAACTCCCAAAGACTTCATAACCCCTTAAGACAGGGTCCTAAGCTGGGGACCATGCATTAAAGCATTCAACCCATACCAGGTGACCTAAGATGGGGAGGACAGAATGTCCGAGCCTCCCTCGTGATCCTGGTGATCTTCCTGGTGACACAGTTAAAGCCCCACTGCTGAGTGTCTCCCCTGAGCATTCTGATTCCATCAGTCCGGAGGAGCAGCAGGACACTTGTACACTTGTACACTTCTACAGTGTTACAGGGTGCTCAGCAGAGATGTCTACTATAGCCAATTAGAAATCTTTATTCCAGCTGGCTGGGACCACACCCAAGTGTCTGGGTATAGCCTCGAGTGTCCAGAACATGGGTCTTTTTTTTTTTTTTTTTTTTTTTTTTTTTTTAAAGCAGAAACCACATCCGGGCATCTGGCTCAGGCAGCAGCTGTAGGGGAGCTTCATAGAAGTAAGCAGTTTGGAGCAAGCAGTTGTGACAGAAGCTAATATAGGTAGCTAGGACATCCTGACCTTTGGTTCCTAGAAGAGAGTGAGGTAATTTCCCATGGGATTCTGCTTACGGGAGATAAGATTCTAGTCAAACCTGAAGTGGCCGTAGCAAGAAGACAGGACGGAGGAACCCCTGCACTGTCTCTCCCCATCACACCTGCTGCCCTGGAGAAGCAGCTGCCCTGTGCTCCGGCTGCCCCAGCCTCTCGTTAGAGGACAAGTGGTAGGAGAGAGAGCTTCATTCATTCTGTTTTCGTTTTTTCATAGTATGATTTCTTGTAGCCCAGGCTAGCCTCAAACTTGGTAGACAGCCAAGGCTGGCTTGAAGCCCTGATCCTCCGGCCTCCACCTTCCTAGCGCTGGGGTAGCGGTCGTTGGCCACTAGTCCCAGCTTCCCCCCCCCCCCCCCCCCGCCGTCTTTCTTTTACCTTACCTGGAATTTACTGTAGTATTAAAGTATTAGGTATAAGGCAAGAATGGAGCTATGCTTCCCTGTAGATAATTTTCTAATTGTCACACTACCACTTACTGAATAAACTTTTTTTTTCCTGTTGTGTGTAAGAAACAAAGGGCAGCCATATGCCATCTCGGGGAGTCTTTAGAAATAAATGACAGGCTGGGATGAGGCAGAGAAATGGCAGGACTGCTGTCACAGTAGGGTGCCCTTCATTGTCCCAGCAGACCCCCCAACAAATCAGGAAATCATGGTCCAAGCTGGGGTGTCAGGCCGGGCGGAGGAATGAGTTGATATGCTATTAGAGTAAACATCTTTTCCTCTGTGTGTTTAACACCACTGCACCTGTGATGTACTGTTTGTCGTAGATGACTGTGAAGTCAGGTAGCAGGGCTGCTTCTAAGGGGGCCACCCCGCCCCCATTTCCATAGCCCTCACTGGTGTTTATAGTGAAAGGAATTAGGTACAGTCCCCCCTACTCCCAGGACTCAGGACCACAAGGTGCAAAGGAATTCAGCTACAGCTATTCAGTGAGGTGTCGCTGGCAACTGGTGTCACTCACTGCCGGGGTCCTGCTCTGGAGAGACTGATTGCCATGGCTGTCTGTCACAGAAAGGTCAGCCTTGGTGGGTGGAGGTCTGAAGACATGAAGAGGAAGCCCTTAGGGCAGCTGATGTGATGGACATCTAGGTGTTCTGTGGGCGTGGGGGATGGACCTTGCCCTGCAGAAGGACTTCAGCTCCGATGTTCCCCTGGAGACTTCAGGAAAACTCAGTACTCTGGTCATAGCTTTTCCTCTCCCTACAGCAATTTTTGTCTGGTATGATCCCATCCCTACAGTACAGTGCGGTAACCATAGAGAACCCCAAGGGACAGGATCACGAGGGAAGCGAGGCCTCCCTGGGTCCCGGTTCCAGTGAGGAGGAGGTGGCCTCTCCTCTGATGGGCTGTGATTTGTGTGTCTCTGTGGTAAGAGGCAGTGTCTTCATGAGTGCAGCTGTGATATGGAAAGACTCGGGTGTCAAGAAGTGTGTCTCAGCCGACAACCTCATAAACGACGTGTTCTCAGCCTCCCAGAATAAGACACCT